CGTCCAAAGAACCATCAAATATCACTATTTTAGACGCCTAATAAGTGTATAAAATACACTTATCATTGATACTTGCAAAATATAAGTTGGTGGAAGGTGCCCATGATTCCTCTTACATTTTTCTTACAAGGCACCATCCCTATGTAAATTTGAGGGGCATAATACAATCCCTTGTCAATACGGACCACACTATTAATGTGTTATAGATATGGAATCCAAATCTATTGTTCCCTTGAAATTCTCTCGATATAGTTTTGATACATCAATACATCACTTTTTTCTTGAAAAAGTAAAAAATGATAATATATTTCTGACATTTTGATGCATTATATATATACTTTAGAGTCTTCAACTTTTTCCCAAGACGATATTCAATTTTTTAAATTCTTTATAGGAAAAAGAACGGGCTGGTCATGTGTATCTTCAGCTTTCTCTAAAGACTGGTCCTTCGAGCCTCATGTTGTCCTAACTGGGCCGTCTTAGGCCCAAATGTTTTCCTTTTTAACTGCCTAGGCATTTATGGTCTCGGGTCTTTTATATTTTCACTTACGGCCATGATTTTCTAGCTATATTATTATTTACCTAAACTAATAATATACACAACTACTCATCTAGCCAATTTTTTTTCCCAAATATCGAATTCGTTGTGGAAATGTTACTAGTGCAATTGTTCACTTTCGGTATACGTTTCAATCGATGAAAAAAAGTCACAACGTTTAAAAAACTGTAGTCTAAGTTTACAAAATTTTAGACATAAAGCAAGTCTTATTGACAATACATACAAAATAGTTGTCTATTATAATTGTATATATGAAAAAGAATTACGGATTTTTCCGAGAAGGTTAAGAAAAAAGAAAAGAATAAATAACAGGTGCGACAAAAAGACGATGAAGGGACTCTATCATTTACTTATACTTGTCAATAACATAAAATGATATACCCTCTCAATAACATAAAATGATATACCCTTCGAGTGCCCACAACCTTTTTTTTACTTGTAATTGGTCCAAAACTCTTTTCTTTTCAGCAAGTAGCTTCTATTAATAGGAGTGTTAGTAGTAGTCACATTCGCAATCTTATTGGGTCATACCCTTATGCTTCTCAAATTAATAGATTATAAAAAGAACTTGAAGGACATTAACAATGGACGATTTTATAATAAAATTAATTGTTAATATGCTCGTCATCATTATTTAGCAAGGAAGACTGAGATTTGCAAATATTGTTGACGATAAAACATATTTTTTTATTAATAAGTGCTTGATATGAGGGAAATACTCGTGCATCTCTCGAAATGTTTGCTTAGAAAATGATTTAAGTGTCTATAAATAGTTTATAAACATAAGTCAAATATAGGCTAAATTTTAAGAACACAATTGAAATTGTAGCGTTAGTTCATCGACCTCTAAAATTTTTACCCTACTTGTGATAACTAGAAACTAATAATATAAATCCATTGCAAATTATTCTTAATAGATTTCTAATGAGAATTTATAGCATAAAGTCAATAATCAGGGAACTAGTTGACTGTTAGGTTTAGCATTAATTAGGGTTACATATGAAAATCGCATAATAAACGCGTATCCCAAATCAAAAGTTAAAGGGAAAAGCAAATTTGTATTTGTTTTCATCAATTTGTATATGACTACTTATCAATTCAAGAATGTTTGATCATATAAAAGTATCGAGTTTATATTTCAATGTCACCTATTTCACAAAATTATTCAAAAGACACGTGATAAGTGTAGTCCAATTATTATACAATCGTTAGTGATTTTCTTGAGCATCTATTGAATTTGATTTATTTACATGTTTTAGGAACAACCTGAGTTTGGGAGACAAAGTGAACCAAATAAATGGAGGGGAAAAAAAAATAGAAATTGAGCACGGAAAGGAGTTAGCTTATGTGAGAACCATGAGAAGATTTAATATATTATTGGAACAATTATCTTTTTAACCAAAATAAAATAAAATACCTATCTACATTTGTGGGACTCGTTGACTATACATTCTGCTCTTGCTTGGTCCCTATTATTTTCAAAATACACTTTTCTCTTTATTATTATTATTATTATTATTATTATTATTATTATTATTATTATTATTGTGGATATTCATGTTAGTTTCAACTCACCTCGACTAATCTCACGGAATCCTGAAATATACAATTGGATACCCACCTCAGTCATCCTGAAAGGACTCGAACTGATGACCATTGGGAAGCAAACCTAAGACCTGATCACTAAACTACCCTTCAGGGTTTTTTCTTTTATTTTTAACCACATTCTTCAATAAAATAATTTTAGACGTAAAATCCAAACCTTTTTCATATTTTTAACCACACATTTTTCATCAGAATATTATTCCAAAATACATTTTTAACATTTGGGGTGGGGGTGGGGGCTCAAACATGCTCTCAAATTATACACATTCGATCTAGGGATGGCAGCGGGTTGGTCATTCTCATCCCCCGTCCCATCGGGTATTTTTGTTATCTTACCCCATACTCATACCCGGTTAAAGCGAGACGGGGCGAGCCAAGCCTTCTGCCATATTTATTTTTTCTTTTTAGTTTTTTTTTTTTGCTTTTATTTTTTATGTCCTTAGTAAATAATATTACTTTTTTACCAATTTGTTAAAAACAACTTATGTTCTCTTTAAAAATGATGTGATAAATTTATTATTTTGTTTGATAAAAACTTAAATTTGAAATTAATATCAATCGGGGCGAGAACTATATTTCCCGTACCCATCTCATACCCGCTTCGGAGCAATTATCCTCGCCCCATACCCGTCTATGTACCCGATTAGACGGGTATTAGCCGCCTCATTTGGATATCGGGTTGAACGGGTTTATTGCCATCCCTAATTTGATCCTTCACATTATTGAACAAATTCTTCATCTAGTTAACGAAGGAAACTAGTAACGTAATTTAAAAAATTAAGAAGGAATATCTCCTAACTGATAATTTCTTATTTTAAGTAATTTTGCCAGTATTTCCTGCTTAATGTCCATTCACATAGTTGAACAATTACTTATTAAAGATTCTTAAAGAGCCAACGTCGGCTATAAAATCATTTTATAGGTTGATTCAATAATATTTTAAAATTTTTAGATGGAATAATTTAGTAATCAAAGTGACTAACATTTATTTTAAAAAAACAAGAACTTAACAACCGTCATAAGTCAAAAACCATATAATATTGTTATTACATAGTATTAACAAATATTCAAATGCGATCATCGTAAAATTCGACAAATCCTAATCCAACTTGGAGTTTTAAAGTTTAAGAAAAAGAGGAAAGAATTTCATCAGCCGGCATTTTAGCCGTGGGTGCGGTTTAATTGTCGTCAAAATAGAACAAAATGTATCCACTTGCACTCCACCCCACGCCGTATGACCTGCACCGCCACGTCGGGTGGTTAAGAGTCGATCAACCCTACTACATTTTAAATTTTTTTTTAAAGTTATGTGAATCTTTTTAATGTATAATACGTATATATTTTGTCTAAGTCGAATTTCTTGATTATCAAATACGTATCAAACTCGAATGTCCAATAAACATGTGTGGTTGGTATTTATAACGTCTTCCCAAATCTCTTAAAAAATTATAAAGTCTAATATACTGCGATGTATATATATCCAAATTTTGACAAACACGAAATGAGAAATTTTATCGCAATTTGGCAGTTGGGATGCCCATCAAGTCTTGCGTCCTCACTCTCCGTGTTTGGCGACCACTTGCATGGACTACATCCGTCCCACCTCACAATCTAAGAAAAAGTACTTATTTACTTATAATTTTCAAAGCACAAAACAACAAAAGAAAGAGATGGGCAACTTGCATGCATATAATATGCCTTTTTTAATAACCATAAACACAAGGAAAAAGCAAAAAACAAGTTGCAACTTGCACATTTGTTTGAACAGCTACATTGTCTTCATCACCATAAGGCCAACTTGCAGGACTAGCTGTTTGATTCCCATCACATTGTATGGTATTGGTACCCCCTCCTACGCCACCCAACCCCTATGAAATTACCTCAGATTGGAAATTTCTAGGTTGGAAAATTGGACCATTTCTTGATCTGTGTGTATTATCTTTGTCGAGAGCCATATTAATCTTCTCTTTACCGTTTCAATTTTATCGAATAATAACAAAGGAACCGTTGGACAATTGTGTTCTTATAATCTAAATCAATAATAATATGTACAAGTACGAAGTTTTTCGAATTTCTACTAGGCATTTTATTTCTGTAATGCACTGTGCGAACATAATTATCTATATATGAATTACTATAAAATTTTGTGATTGATTATTTAATTATTCTCTTTGTATATTCAAGCTTAATTAACGAGCACTTAGGAATATCTTAACCACCTTAGTCACTCGCTTCTCTAAAGGTCGAAGATGCTTGAAAGTCAATGCACAATGCACCCTCAAGCCTTGTTTCACAATTCACATTAAGTGTTGGTTCATTGTATCTTCCAATAATCCCAATATAAACTAATACATTGTACATAACTATATCGTCTAAACAATTAATGATCAAACAAATTCATGAATTAACAAAAAATACAACAAAAAACAAAAATGAAAATTTGGTTTCGATTCTTGGAGCCTGTTTGAGCCACATTGTTTCAAAAAAATGCATTCTTACAAAGTGGTTTGACATCATTTCAACTACACATTCTTCAATAAAATAATATTACATGTAAATAAAAAAAAATTCTTACTTTTTAACCACATATTTTCTATCAATACACTATTCAAGAATGCATTATTACCAAAATAATGTACCCCTTGGAAAATTATTGATATGAAAATTGCTGAATTTTCATATAGTGGTTCATGTCATAGAAACCATAAACCAATAATCCATGATTACAAGAAATTGTCGAAAGACAAAAATTCGCAAACCTCGAAAAGAACGGACATGTCACGTACATATATATATATATATATATATATATATAGTTGAAGATCAACAAGAGTTGTTAATTTTTCTTTTAACCCTAAAAATGAATGATTTATAGAGAAATCCGATTTAATCATTGTATCGAAATGATACATCAAACATCATTGTTTATATATAAGTATAAATTTCTTTACGAACGTCTGGCTAAATTCTCTGCGATCTGAGCTAGGGATTGGAGGTTACATTTGACAATGGTGTCAACGAAAACACAAGTATCTTCCCTAGTGTTACCTTGTGGTATATCGACAACATACGATTCAATGACCACTGTGCCGCCGCTGCCGTTGGTCGCCGGGTGGAGAGTGGTGACGGAGCGGTAATTCTCAAGGCGGTGATCGCCACCAACCACGCTAAAGCTCATAACATGGCGTTCGTCATCAAGGATCTCGAGGCGCTCGGTGCTGTTTACGGCCGGGAGGCCCGATATGACGTGGACCTCCCGGAGAGTGCCTACGTTGCCGTTCCCGACGATGACGTGACAGCTCTTGAGAAAGTGCTTGTAGGCCTGCGGGTTGTCGAAGCGGCGGACGACGGACCAGACGGTGGAGACGGGGGCGGAGATTTCTTGAATCGCGGCGGAGCAGCACTGGTTAGGACTGACGGTGTGAGTGTGATAACGGGCTATGTAGTCGGGGACTTCCGTGGTGCACGGCGTCCATCTTTGGAGTTGTTGGGCTTGTTTATAAGAAGCGGCGGCGGCGGCGGTTGTAGTGGTATCCTTGATTCTTTGGAGTACAAGATTTGAAGGCATTTTCTTGAACGGCTTTTGAGTTGCTTTTCTTGATCCAATTGATCTCTAGGTAGAGAGATTGGGTTAGAGTATATATATAAATTATGTATGTATATATCAAGATAGAGAGAGATTGGGTTAGAGTGTGCGTGAGAGAGATAGATACAATATATAGATATAGAGAGAGGGAAAGACGGGGTTGTAGGATCTGCAAAGGAGGAGAGAGGGTGGCGTAGAGTAGGGCGGAGTGGGTACGATGATTCATGTGAGTGTAATAGAAAAGGATCAAGTTGATCAAGTTGAATTTACTAAAACAGCCCTATTTCCTTTTTTGATTATTTCTAGTAAGCTTACTAAAAATAGAAATGAAAATAGTAGCCGAAATTTTAGCTTGCACTTCAAGTTCAAGTTAATTTTGGATAGTCGATTTCAAATTATTACTCTCTCTGTCATTTCTATATTCCTTTTTAAACCATAACTTCAATTCTTATAAATTGAGAAAGCCACTCATAGCATTGGACTCAAAAGCATAGGTCCATTTATCTTATCTTTAGAATGAAGTGATAAAAATTAGGATTTTGTCATTTCGACAAAAAATTTGTAATAGATGTAGTGACATAATTTTAGTTGGCAATAGATGACTTTATGAGAATGTTGACTGTATTTAAAACAGTTCAATAATAAGACGTCATGTGACATTATATCAATCATTATGTTACTGTAACATGATTATAAAAACCAAAACTCGCATAGCATTGGACTCAAAAGCATAGGTCCATTTATCTTATCTTTAGAATGAAGTGATAAAAATTAGGATTTTGTCATTTCGACAGAAAATTTGTAATAGATATAGTGACAAAATATTAGTTGGCAATAGATGACTTGATGAGAATGTTGACTGTGTTTAAAACAGTTCAATAATAAGATGTCATGTGACATTATATCAATAATTATATCAATTATTATGTTACTGTAACATGATTGTAAAAATCAAAACTCATGTCTTACAATAATGCTTTATATTGAACAAAAGTGTCCTATTTGGAGCTAAACTAATAGCATCTCCAATAGATTTTGAAACCAAAAATAATTACTAAATGACAAATTTTATTTGCAATAGAAAATGAATTTAATTTTTTTTTAAGCATTTCATCTTATATTTTTATAATCTTTTATATTTCAACGTTACATTTAGAATTAGTCCACGATTCTCGAATAATAGATCTTCAGTCAAACGAGAAACAATATCACATATTTTCTCAATAAATGCTTGCTAGTGTTCGACCTTCTTATTATTTGTTGATCAGTGATATTTGTTGATAATTAAATTTTTGGTGGATAGAGAAACAATGTTTCATCTTCCTCGATAATATAAGTACCATTTTGAATGATCAATTCATTTGAAATCTAAAGGTATTTGTCGAAAATTCAAAATTAGATAGTTTAGTTAAGACAATATTTGTAAGGAATTATTAACTTCTCAACAAGAACTAAATAAAATTACGAATATGACTATTTATTTTTTGAATTATACAAATCTTCCTATACTTTATTACTAATTCAATCGTTAAATTTAAAAGTCTGCATCAGGACCATCACAGCTATTGCATGATGTAATCATGTTAAAGAAAAGAATAATGCTGTTGATTTTTTATTTTTTTTTCAATGTATATCTTACGCAATATTCAACAATTTTCAGTTTCTTAATCCCAAGTTATGTATATTAAAGTCATTTCGAATAGAAAACAAAATTTATTTTTACGATTAATTTATTATTATTGACGGAAGAAAAATACAAAGTACACGAGACGGAATCAAAGCATAGTTTATGATTTCTAACTTTATTATGATACGTGCACTAGGGGGCAGCTCATATGTGGGCTGTTTATGGAAGACATGAATAATGGCTTTAATTACTATTTTAGATAATGATTCAGACCACAGTTTATTCCTTTCTTTAAATTGTAAGGTTGTCTTTAGAAAGATCAATCAGTTCCTTTTATTTTTCTGTCATTTCCTTTTATGTTCCAGTCATTCCATAGAGGTGCTACAGCCTCTGTTCTGTAATCTCTATTTAAAGGCTTTATGCCATGAATAAAGGCAACTTGAATCTTCTCTCAACAATTCATTATCAAGGAGGTCGGTTCACCTCGAATTGAATCAGTAAAGGAGGACAAGGATCCCTCGAAGAATCCTAGATATATTTATTTGCAAACATAGGTAAATTACGTAGAGCTGATCCTGGTGCATTACCTGTTAACAAGCCAGTTACGCGCTCTCAAACAAAGGCACATAACAACTTGGTATCAGAGTCAAGCATGTCGGATCGTCGTTTGGAGCGGCTTGAAGTGGAAATCGATTCTTTAGGAACCGTTCAATCAACGTTACGACATGAATTACAATAAGAGATACGGGCTAGTGAGGAAAGAATGGTGAAACGCATGGAAAATATGTTCCAGGCAATGTCTACCCAGATTGAGGTGATGTCACAGAATTTCAGTGGAATGGAGGCAGGATCAGGTTCCAGTAGGAAGGGAAGGGGAAGGGAAGGCTCAACGACCACTAAATTTCAAATCGCAAAATTAGATTTTCCTCGCTATGATGGAATGGAAGATCCGACGGGGTGGATTTGTCGTGTTGAGCAATTTTTCGATTTTCAAGACACCGATGAAGAAGAAAAGGTACCTATAGCTGGGTGCCATTTAGAAGGAGATGCGCAAATGTGGTACCAACAACTCAAGGATAGCGTAAAATATTTGGATTGGGAGTCCCTAAAGAGAGAATTGCACACATGTTTTGGACCAACCAGGTTCCAAATTTTTTTTGGGGATTTATCCAAATTAAAGCAAGAGGGAATAGTGCGTGAATATAGTATGGAGTTTCAGAAATTGATGAGGCGTGCAGGAAAATTATCCTTAGAACAGCAAGTAGGCTGCTATGCAAGTGGGCTGAATGAACCTATTAGATCAGATGTATTGGCAAGCGGCCCAGAAACTCTGACTGCAGCTATTGGCTTGGCCCGAGTTTATGAGGCTAAATTCTTGAACATGAAGAATTCCTTTAGCGAGATGAGGAGGACCACAATAGCACCAACTCGAGCTTTCCCAGTTTCTATGCCTCCACAACGTCCCTCGACGTCACTAGCTCAATCTCGAAATCCAATAATTCGACGTCTCAGTCCAGCGGAGCTAAAGGAAAGAAGGGAGAAAGGCCTCTGTTTTAATTGTGATGACAAGTTTGGACCAGGACACAGATGCAAGAAGCTATTTTTTATTGAAGGAGACTTTGATAAAGTAGAAGAGAGTGGTGACGAAGAAGAAGAGAATGAGTCAAATGAGGCACCGCAAATTAGTTTCCATGCTATCTCCGGTACGCCGACATCACAAACCATGAGGGTGCATGGAAAAATCGGAACTCTCGGCTTTACCCTTTTGGTGGACTCGGGGAGCACCCATAACTTTCTAAATGATGAAGTGGCAGCCAGATTAGGATTGAAACCAAAGGAAGGAAACTTTAGAGTGTCAATAGCAAATGGGGAAAAAATGGACAGCCCTGGGGTATGTAAAAAGGTTCCAGTGAAAATTCAAGGCCTCAAGTTTGAAGTTAATTTTTTCATATTGTCTATTGAAGGTTGTGATGCGGTCTTGGGGACCGAATGGTTGAGGGGACTTGGCCCAATAATTTGGGAGTTTACAGAATTATGGATGCGATTTTGGTGGTTGGGGAGAGCGGTGGAGTTGAAAGGGGAGAGAGGACCTGCAAACCGAATTGTAGAGGAAGGAGATACACCCAAAAATCTAAAAAAAATCTAAGAGATGTTTTTTACTACAGCTGCAAGCTATCCAATTGGGAGTTGATGAGAGGAGTGGAGATGAGGTTGATGTTAAATTTCTAGCACTGCTGGACAGATTTAAAGGAATATTTTTGGAGCCTACTGGACTTCCCCCAAGGCGAAAACAGGATCATCAAATCCCTCTAATTGCTAGTTCAAGACCAGTAAATGTCAGACCATATAGATATCCACATTATCAGAAGGATGAGATCGAAAAGCTAGTGTCTGGTTTGTTGAGATTTGGGGTAATAAGAAGCAGCACTAGTCCTTATTCCTCACCGGTTCTCTTGGTGAAAAAGCATGATGGATCTTGGCGTTTATGTGTTGATTATCGTGCCCTTAACCAAGTGACAATAAAAGATAAATTTCCTATTCCGGTGATTGATGAGTTACTTGACGAATTACATGGTGCTAGATTTTTCACTAAGTTAGATCTTCGCTCCGGATACCATCAAATCAGGATGCATGAGGCAGATGTGGAAAAGACGGCATTCCGAACTCATCAGGGGCATTACCAGTTCTTAGTAATGCCATTTGGATTGACCAATGCACCATCATCTTTTCAGGCCACTATGAACGAGGTATTTCATGATTTTTTGCGAAAGTTCATGTTAGTATTTTTTGACGATATCCTGATATATAGTGGTGATTGGGAAGAACATCTAACACATGTGGAGTTGGTTTTCCAAAGACTAGAGATTCATAATTTTTTTGTAAAGAAGGAGAAATGCCAATTCGGCTTAGAAGAGGTCAGTTACTTGGGGCATTTAATTTCAGCACAAGGGGTGGCCATGGATCCAGAGAAAATAGCGGCCATGGTGGATTGGTCTAAACCAACTACGCTCAAGGGGTTGCGCGGTTTTCTAGGCCTGACTAGATATTACAGGAAGTTTATTCAGCATTATGGAGACATTGCTAGACCACTCACACTCATGTTAAAAAGGGGGGCATTTGAGTGGAATACTCTAGCCGATGAGGCCTTTGTTAAACTCAAGGAAGCCATGATGAAAGGACCTATTTTAGCCTTACCAAATTTTTCAACAGTGTTTGTAATTGAGTGTGATGCGTCAGGAACTGGACTTGGAGCTGTGTTAATGCAAGAAAATAGGCCCATTGCCTATTTCAGCCAAGCTCTCAAGGGTAGAAATCTGGCCCTCTCTACTTATGAAAAAGAAATGTTAGCTTTGGTTAGTGCAGTCCACAAATGGCGTCCATATTTGTTAGGTGCTAAGTTTATCATTCGCACTGATCAGAAAAGTTTACAATATTTATTAAGCCAAAACATTACTTCCTTGGCTCAACAAAAATGGCTGGTAAAACTAATGGGGTTTGATTTCACAATTGAGTATAAGAAAGGGCGTGAGAATTCAGTGGCAGATGCTTTGTCTAGAAAACAAGGAGAGTTACTAGCTA